ATAACACAAATAAAGAAACGTACACGAAAAAAACAATGCATTTCTAAAAGGAGACTGTGTTACCAGTGTAACAGTACGTACGTAGTACGTAAAAATGATCATGTAAAAGTTGAGAAATACAAAAGTGTAACTAAACTACTCGTCGATCCCTTAATTATGCATTTAATACACGCACGTAAATAGAAAATTATTATCAAAAAGCATACGAGGAAACACCATCATAATTCAATACCGATACGTACTGCATCGTTATTCTTGGCTAGTAATATAAATATGCTTGTCTTGGAATCTCTTGCTACAGAAGCTTTCAGATTTAACTGCAATTATAATATAAAATATGTCTTATTCAAATAGAACCGTAATATTAATATTCATTATATTATTCATTTCGATATTTTTCGAAGCATTTGAATCCAAATTTCATAAATCCGTAAGAAGAGACGGATTAATCGCGAATCTTCAACATCTTTTCGCCCCAACTTCAGAAAAATCATTTACCACTTGGTACGGAACAGAAATTACACCACAATATATCTTTAGACCTAAATCTCTTGATGACCTTAAAGATATCGTAAAAAACGCTAAAATTAATGGAAAAAAGATTCGCTGTGTTGGTCAAGGTCATTCATGGGCATCATTATCAATCACCAAAGATTATTTGGTAATTGTAAATGACCTAAATAAAGTTGTTGAAATAAAAAAGACAGATAAATATGGATGGACTGTTACTGCACTAGCTGGTAGATATTTGTGATTCTTTTATACAAATATTATATTATTAACGTTAAGCAGATAGATTTACAACGCATATATTTATCCTTTTTGTGTCAGGCACACAAATCAAGACAATTGAAGAGGAATTATTGAAAAATACTCCATCCTTAGCTTTTGAATCAATGACTGTTCCTGATTTCTTAAGTGCTTCTGGTATTATTGCAGTCGGTGCTCATGGCGGCAAGACTGGAGGTCCAGGTGTCTCTGACTTGGTTGTCAAGCTACAAATAGTTACTGGTGATGGTGAATTACAAGAATTTTCTAATGAAAAAGATCCCGTTGAATTCAACGCTGCACGATTAAATTTAGGTAAATTTATTGGAGCTAATTCACATAAGTTTGGTGTTGATTAACAACAAGTGTTTTATTTATGACAGGATTACTAGGCATCGCTTATTCCGTTACTTTTCGCGTCGAGCCACTTTTTAACCTACGCGTGACTGATCTTGTGTTCCCAATCAAAGATTGGCTTAATGCCGCAAACATCAAACGAATTGTTTCTGATTCAGATACTATTAATTTTTCTTATTGGCCATTCAACAAAGGTCATATTGATTTATCAAATGATGACATTTGGATAAAACAATTTATTAGAACACAAGAAGCACCAACAACGACGAAAACAGTTCTTGACACGATCTTTAATGAGGCTGTAATTCAAGGCGCTAATATCGGAAAAGAAACTTTTATGGAACGTCCTGAGCTAACTCCAATTGTAAAGGCAGCAGCATGGCTAATATATAAAAAGACATTTAAAAGCGAAGTGTTGACATCAACAGATGCTATTCATTTTACTCCTGGATATGAAAATATTAAAGCCGAAGATGCATCATTTGCATTCAAAGTTGATCCGGATTTCACGAATGTTGCTGCTGAATTTTGGTATCTCATAGACAAGGTAAGAATTTATATTATTATAGATGAAAACTTTCTTTATCTAATTAGTTTTATTATTTTATCAGATTGCTGAATATGCGAGAAAAGGCAAATTTCCTCTAAACATTACCGTGTCAGCTAGAATTATACGAGCTTCTGCTGCTTTATTAGCGCCAAATTTTGACAGTGATCCGAACAGCTTTTATTGTTTCATTGAAATCAACAGTGTAAAGAATACCAAGGGCTGGAATGAATTTTTCAATGAAATAGGCGCACGATGGATCGGTATCAAAGCTAGGTAAATAGATTTTCCGCACTGATCCTGATTAAAGTATAGTTCTCACGTTAATCAATATTTTTATACCAGACCTCATTGGGCTAAAGAGTGGGAATCCTTGCCTGGCATTAAACCATTCCTTCGAACAAGTTTAGGAAATCGTCTCGAGACATTTGAAAAAGTTCGCGCTAAATATGATTCTAAGAAAACGTTCTTCGATAATGATTCGTTGAAGCAGATATTTTATAGATAGATGTTAATCATGTTCTAATTCGTCTTAGTATTATCGTTATCAAAACGCAAGTAATATTACTGATATAGAGGTATAGAAATCAGAGTACTAATACACGAATTTGGAGTATTTGAATATAAATAATATAATAAAGTGTAGAAGCACAAACCTACTTACTATATATATTCTTGCATGTCGTTACACTCTCTTGCCCATTAGAAACTACATGCAATTACTGTATACATGTAAAAAAACAAGGCGTATTCATTAAAAGTACTGTATATGACATCGATATCTTTCGCCTAACAGCTCGCATTATGTACATGTAAACATGCAACGCGAAGCTAAATTCCGATCATTTGCATTGCGAAATCGGTCAAATTATACATGTATATTTTATATTGTCAAAATTATTAATCAATAAAATATTTATACTCTAACTGAAAGTTCTTCAGGGAAATGAAAAAATATTATAGAGTAGTGGATATCTCAAAACTACTACGACTACTACATGTATTATTATTATTCATAATAACCTTATCTCTTGCGCAGAGCAGGATGGATGAATACCTAACGTTTTGGCGGTGTTGTGATTCTTTAGAATTTAATTATTGTCATGCGACTACGTACGTATCGCTATACGTCAAATGTTTTGCATCACACAAAAAATAAAATTAGAAATTCAATAATGTTGTACGTACAAACATCTTGAAGCTTAAAAATTTTGCAAAACATGTATGTACGTACATGTATAACGATAATTCACATCAGAAGCTGCAAATCATTATTTATAAATTGTAATTGGTCAGATTTATAAGTGACTATTTTTTATATTAATGCTGAAATTTTTAAAAAATGCATTATTTAAAATTGTATCTTCTCAATAAAAAATATATAAAATTTTAAGATAAAATACATTACTTGATAGTATTTATCAAAAACTACGTATTAAATGATATATATAAAATCCTTTGCAATGCAAAATATTTCATGTGACTAAGCTGGACGCATTATAATAATCAGTAAATTAAAATAATAATGAACGATGTATTTTATATGATGTATTTTTTTTTTACTGTTTACGATGTAAATAATTTCAAACCGATATTTAAATAACAAAACATTTACGAAATTAAATAAACTATTCTTTACCACTCTGTATATCCTCCTTTAATCTTGTTCAGCATATTTACATGATGATTAACCAGTGGTTCATTTTTGCATTTCCAACAGTATTCAGGATCATCTGATCCATATATTATATATTATATATTATATATTATATATTATATATTATATATTATATATTATATATCATCTATCATATATCATATATCATATATAATATATCATATATCATATATTATATATCATATATTATATATCATATATCATATATCATATAACATATATCATATATCGAATATCATATATTATATATTATATATCATATATTATAGCCACTGTCCAATCCTTGTATTTCTTAGCAAATTTTAAACGCAATTTTTGATGTTTTTTTAAAATATAAGTTTTTTCATTAATTCTAGCAGAAAACCATTTCTACGTAAAGTTCTTCTTATAGTACTATCGCTTACATTATTTTATTATTAGTTTGTAATTTTTTTGAATGGATACAGCATTAAAACATTCGTCACTTGAATCTATCATATAATATTACGTTCATCATGGCCTGTAAAAATCGTAGACGGCCAGATTTTGGTAAATCTTTTACAGAACCAGTAGTTTCTATTTTTTTTTATGTCGAAAAACAGAAGATTGCGCAATATTTTCTTTTGATGCGATATAACGGGAAGAGAATCCTTCTTGAAGAAGGGTAGAAATTCGATAGTGATATGACCCATATTAATTTAACGATATGTTTAGTAAATAAAATGAAAAACTATACTATTAGGTATAACTTTTACATATCGATATTATTTATTTCCAAAAGTAGTACATGTACATGTATGTACAAAAAGGTTCCATGTACACTGACCTATGATAAATCACCGTGCATATAAAAATTTTGATAGTAAAATTGAAATTTTCGCTCTGTAAAGAAGATTTTATTTAATTAATAAATATTTTTTGTTTTCATATCCAAATAAAGCTAAGAATCTATATTTCAATATATATATTTTTTTATAGATTTTATAGATTTTATTTCATGAAATTCTTCTAATTGTAAAATATCTGCAAATTTTTTCATAATTAAAATTTAAACTTGATTATAAAAAATTTTTTTGCAGATATTTTACAATAAGAATTTCATGAAATAAAATCTATAAAATCCACAAAAAATATATATTGAAACATAGATACTTAACTTTATTTGGATATGATAACAAAAAATATTTAAAATCTTTTTTACAGAGTGAAACTTTCAATTTTTACTTGATTTTATTATCAAAATTTTATATGCACAGTGATTTATCGTAGGTCAGTGTACATGTATTTATTTGCAGATGTTAATAACGATAACGTATCATTATTATTTTTTTATTTACGTAATTCATAACAATAGCGATAGAGCTTCTTTATTATGCATTTTTCATGCATAATAATAAATCAAATACGTAACGATCTATCGATATCATCATTTTTTAAATAATAACTCAAAGATGGCATCTAATAAATGTACTCATGATTGCGGTGAGTGTGATTATTTTCAAAACGATTACTACTGCAAAGTGTGTTCAGTTCACAATATTCATGATTGTAATAACTGTCACGATTGTAAACACTATAAGTACTGTGATGAATGTTCAGTTCACAATACTCATGATTGTAGTAAATGTATTCGTTGTCAAGAAAATGTGAACTGCTCTGAATGTTTTCTATATCACATACGAATTTATGTTGGATGGTCTAGCGGACATAAAGATATCGACAGTCTAATAAATGAATGCGACAGAATTGCTGGTGTATATAGATCTATCGAATGGATCCCTCTTGAAAGATTTACCAATGTTGAATATCTTGCAAAAGGAGGTTTTGGATCAATTTATAAAGCAACCTGGTTGGACGGACCATTTGGTAACATGTGGGATCATAAAGAAAATAAATTCAAACGAGATGGAAAACGCGAAGTTGTGTTGAAATCAGTACACAATTCAAAGCAAATTACATTCGAGTTTATAAAATGAACACCTTTTAAAGTCTAAGCATGTTGCTTTTTGTTTTTCAATTTAATTAACTTTTTCAAAATTAGATTCAGACTGCTCTAAAGTGCAGGGATGGCTATACGCTTATTAGATATTATGGAATAACTTAAACAAACTACGTACAAATGAATGCACGATAGTGATGACTTATACGAAAGATGGCGATCTACGCAAATATATGAATGCCAAATACGAAGAACTGACTTGGAAAATAAAAGTAGGATATTTAACTAAAGTTCTCTATGATCTGAATAAAATTCACAATGAGAAATTTGTGCATCGTGACTTTCACCCTGGAAATATATTATTCGATAACAAGCCTCAAATTGCCGATTTTGTACTTACTAAACCAGCAGATATAGAAAAATCTGATCAAAAAATTTGCGGAGTACTTCCTTAGATGAGTCCATAAGTACTAAACGAAAAACCCTATTCTAAAGCTGCAGATATTTATGATTACCACCGGTGAACGACCATTCGGTGAACGAAGTCATGATATATACCTCGTATACAACATCTATAATGGAATATGACCTACGATACCAAATAACGATAATATTCCTGGATGGTGCAAATTTATTATTGAAAAATGTTGGGTCTTATTCCAGAAAACAGACCAACTACTAAGGAACTTTACGAGTTTATCTGGTCTATCGAATATATCGACAGTTTTATCGATATGTGGAGACCGAACGAATATTTTGCATTTTCATTACTACGGCTCTTCAGAATCCCTTAAGACACATGAAGAAATGATTGAGTGTCTTAAACTAGAACAGAAGAAATTAGATGAACTTGATAAGGAGATGAAATTGCAAAAAAGCATGCCTACTAATATAAACAAAAAACAACAAATCCACTCCAATGCAGTTAACACCAGTCGAGTCTTTACCACAAAAATAATTTCAATTCCAACTGAGACAGGTACTTTATTTGGAAATATAAATCATATTAGTATTTCATAGTAATTAAAATTCATCTCAAATGTATAGGAATGTCAAGTGTCAGTTTGTTGTTCCAAACGAAGGTAAAGTTACATTTACTAATTCCTTTTATTAATTATTATTTTTCTTTGTGTGTAAACAGATTTCGATTTTAGTATACTATGTGAAATCAAAGAAAATGAAAATATATCGATTGACTTGCAAGAAAAACTACAGACTCATGATGAAACACTTCCAACAAAGTAAAACAATACACTTTAGACTTTAAAAAATAAGTTTATCTTTTTATTTATAAAATATGCAAATTTTTAATTTTATATATTATTTTTTACTATATTTGGATTTTATATTTTTTATCAAATATACATATCAATCTAACAATTTCGAATTATTTAAATAAATATTTTTATTTAAAAGAGTTCAAGTAAAAAGTTTTAATAAAATTATTACATGTAATTAGTTCTAATTAATTCCAACAATTTTAAAAATTACTAATTCTAGAAAAATCAAATTGCTTAATTATAATAAGTAATTCTTCTTAAAATATTACTATAAAGAAGTTTATTAATAGTTTGTAAAATAAATCATAGCATTTTTTTTCTGGAATAGTTCCAAATTCATTATAAATTTTACATTTTAAAAGATTTTAATTTTTCAAGAAGTTTTTTATTATTTATATTAAAACACTATCATAAGCAAATTTAATTAATAAATATGTAGAAAAAAATTATTTCTAAAACTAGTAATTTTCGTGAAACTATTTGAACCAATTGAAACTGGTTAACAACTCTATATATAAGTATACTATATCTTGATATATGTACAACAAATATAAAACAGAAATGACAACATATTAATTTGTCTCGAAAATATTTTTATGATTCGTAAAAAATATTCAATTAGCTTAATCTTATCAGAATATTTTTTTTGAAATCAGTTCTGAAATAAAATTGAAGATTTATTGTTTGTATTTAAGATCGCAAAAATTTCATTACAAGATCAATCTTTTGCTTTAATTATAATATGCATTGGGAAGAGTCTAGCCACTCGAAATAATTTTCTCACTTTTTCAGCCTTCTATTTTTAGATCATTGACTTTGATTTGGGAGTTTGTTGAAATTACTTTTTCGCGGGTTGTATAGCTTCTAGCTGCTAATAATTATGTTAACATAATCAAAAGTGTTGCACAGTTTAAAGCTGCATATTACTATGAAATAGAATTTTTCCATAACACTATTACTAAGTAATATACTAGATAACTAATATAATTAAAAAAATTATGTCATAATTTAATAATTATAGTGAGCTTATGATACTGACCTATATGTGATAGATATCTCACGGAATGCCGTAAATCAATATCACGGCTTCACCGCGGTATTGATGATGATATCGAGGCTGATCTATGTGATATCTGATTTATCTCATGCTCACAGATAATGTTTTGCTAGATGGAATTTTTCAATCAGTATGTAGTCTATCACCAAGTGATTGAAAAATATCAGACGGGAGTATATCATATCATCAGAAATATCATAAGCGTGAGATAAATCAGATATCACACAGATATCATCATCAATACCACGGTTCCGCTATGGTGTGGTGTTGATATCACGGATCAGCAATAGCGATAGATTAGATATCATGCATCATCATAGCTGCATGTGATACATGGACATTGGGATGCGTGGTTGGCTATGTGAAACAAAAACGATTTAGATGTGCATGCTTCACAAAAATTTTTGATTATTCACACCCCTACGGCTGATCCATGAAATATCTATTACTTATTTATAAAAAGAAACGAATGAGAAAGCAACTAATGATCTCAATATATTGTTATTTAAATATTTTTTTGCTTTTTGCTTTAATATTGTTAGTATTGTTAAAAAGTTTCCCATATGCTGAAAATCAATAACGATGATAAACATCTGCACATTACGTATATGTATTTGGCAATAATTTGTACGTACAATATAAATATAAACAGTTTTTCACCATAGTTCAAATAAGTCTCGTTTCTGTATTAATTCAATCGTTAATTTTCTCTGATAATTTCGATATTGCAAGTATTGCTTTTAACATATGGTTATTTTATTATTTTATGAAAAGGTTCTAATTTCTTCTATTTACGAATTTTAAAGAATTATGATTCCTAAATACTTCTTCATCGTTTTTCTCGTCTTCTTTTGTGTTTTTCAACAAACTGTTGCTGGACCAATCGCATACGCCGTATGCCAAACAGCTTGTAATTTGAAATGGGCGAGCTGTTACTTATCAGCTGGTTTGGTTGCAGGTACGAATAAATAAAATTTTTTGTCGAATGAAAGTCGATTAATTTTCATAAATCTAAATGTGATAGGAACGGTCACTGGAGGTTTATGTGCTCCCTTTGCTGCGCTCGCTTGTAATGCTGCACAAGGGGTCTGTATGGCTGCGTGTGCCGGTTTGCTCGTTGCACCAACGCCTTGAGAATACGACTACAGTCAGTCCACACTCTATATAACCTTGACTTCTATAATCTTATAGAACATAATAAAAATTTTCAAATAAGTAACGTTATGTTATGCAGAATAAGAATGTCAAATCACAATTGGATTTTATTCAGTATATACGCTACACTTTCATATAATATAAATTCAAAATGAATAATAAAGGAAATTATTTCACAAACGCAATATTTATCCAATTTCCAGTGTCGCATTACTTTGGTTCATTTTTAACACACAATTTACATAACTCGCAATATTACCGTAGTATAATAATCTATATTAATTAAAGTTATTATATAATTACACTGTTAGCTCTAACGCTAATAATAATTTTCTTAATTTACATCAAGTACAAATGTTATCATTATACAGAATTTGCATGTAGCATTATCGTTAGAGCAAAAGATATGTCATATGCTAGCAAATAAAAAATATCTTTATTTTTATAACCTTCACCAGTTTGTATTTCGATTGCAAAGGAATTTTAGTTGAAGAAACATCTTGCTGATTCATGCTGATCCAGGAACCTTTGCTAGATGTAAGTTTTTATAACAAATGGTTTATATGATATTTCAGCACTTAGAAAGATATTATGGTTAGTGTTTTAGTTGTATTTATTAATTCTTTGGTTTTCTTTTATTCACATATTACCAATAGTCCACTTGGCTAATTTCTAATACTAGCTTGAACAAAATGTGCAATATTTCCTCTATCTCTTCAGAATTCTCTTCATTGTCCTTATCATCAAGATCCTCTTGTATAAATGTGTTTGCTTCTTTTTCAATTCAATTTAAAAATACATTAACATTTTTGAAAATTCCTTTTTTGTAGAATTTCTCGCAATAACTGCATCTTCCATTATAACAAATTACGTGATAGCTGTAATCACATATAAGTATCACACTAACTTTGTTGACAAATGTAATCAGGTCAGGGGTGGCGAATATGATGTAATGTATGTTGTTGATAAATGCTGTAAGTCTACTTCTTATTCTAGGGTTACGAGCTTGTATATTTTTGGTTTTTTGTTAAGTTTTGGAATTCTTTGTCCACGATTATGATATATATTACGAAAGTATCATAATAAAAAGATACTAGTCTTGTCTGACAAAAAATTAAGTATCAATGTATCAGTGTATTATATGGATATCGTTATATTTTTCAGTATGCATCTTTAAACGCAGAATAATAATTCATAATGACGTAGGTTTGTTTGATGATATTATTGACTATTAAACTTGGAGATGTGTTTCGCTCTAATTCAGCTATGGATATTTTCAACGTAATATTCGTTAAAACTCAGTAAGTGCTCCCAAATTAAATCAAAAAAAGGATTATTAGTATCTTTCCAAAAAAAAACAAGTCTGGCAAAAAATAATGGGTGGGAGCTTTATTATGTTTTTTTGTTTCCATCACAGTGAATTTCCAGATACGAAAAACTGTTTTCTTCGCCAGTTTCTTATACTCACTGAATACCAAATGAAATATTTAGTGACAAATGGAGCTGACCTAACATAGGTATAAATGACTCAATATCTTGTGATAATTTTTTTATACAATGCTTTTCGAATGAAAAGCTGGCCAGACCAGTCAACAACAACTGGCACAACTCGATTATTCAAATGATGTGTATATTGATTTATTGATAGAATGAGCTTCAAAGCATTAAGGTAGTCTTGTACTGAATGCAAATGCTGCTCTTTAATTTCGTTTATTCATCAAACATGCTTCCTTTCATTCTATAGTATGATCTTAACTACGTATTTAAGCTTAAGGTTTCAATTTGATCGAATTTATTGGGAGTTTGATGTATTTGTGAAATTCACTGACATTCTAAATATGAATTATCAGTGTATTTATGAATTAAGTTCATGCAAACTCTTGATGTTTTGACATTTTCTGAGTTATGAATTGATGCATCATTATTTGTAAGTGATAAAAAATAATATTCAACAGGTTTCACTACACAGGTAACAAAATGCTTCGCAATTGATGTTGGTACGGTATCTGGTTACAATTTTTGTGAATTGCATGGTAATCATCAATATCATAAACATGGAAAATATTTGACTAAAAAAAATTAATATATAGTTAACTACAATATATGTTTTATTATTTAATAATAACTTGCATTTTCTAAAAAATACTGCTCAAATTTTTTATATTATTATTGCGAAATTCCTCTACTATTTTAGCACATGCAGAATACCCTAAACATGACATTATATCGATGGTATTTCATGTTACTACTGACACCATTAAATATAATCCAACTTCTATTTTGTCCTGGTTAACGAATCTATTTCGTAAACCTGCTATCATGTAACATAATCCAACTATTGACTTTTTAGCTTCATTTATATTATAAGATGAATGTTCTTTAGGAACAATTGTGCTCGTTATATGATTAAAAAACTCATAATTTGAGGATTAGCATCCTCAATCATATGTTCAAATTTTACTGGATCTAATTGCAGACCAGCGCATTCTCAACGTTGCTGGTGATATAAAACTTTGTTAACACTTGAATATTTGAAGCGAACGTGGAAGCTAATATTTAAATTAATAAAAAAATTACATGTATTAAAAAAATACTCTAAGCCATAAATGCATTACCTAAATTATTATCCGGTCTAAGTTCTATCAGTTCTAATATTTTAGGTAATAGTTGTTGCTGCGTTTGGGAAGTTTGCTGTTGGACCTGAGGTTAGTGGTTGGATTCTAATAAAGCTTATTCGAATATATATTTAGATTCTTTGAGTATTCGTTTAATTTTATTCGAAGATTAATTCTTTGAATAATTATTTATTCAATTCTAAATTGCGGATGATGACGAATATCTCGATTATAATTTGACGGAAAATAAATATACCTATTTGAAAATAATGAACAAGAGTTAAAATGTAATTTCTTTAATTATCGAACAAGGACCACGATTTTTCGTTTCCATGATTTACCCGATTTCTTTACGTGTTCTTTATCAAAAATATTAGCCAATCATATTTTATGAAGATCATCAGATGTGATAACCAATCAAAAGAACTTTTGTCATTCTTTTTTGATTGGATAGGTTAACAAATCAAACAAAACAACTAATTTATTATTATTTTGTTTACAATGTATAACGCATTATAACGAATTTTATACTAAGTAAAAGTAATGAAATAATTGTATCTCAATTTTTGTGTTATTGGATTAATTTTCGTTGAAGTTAGATGATTCATAACACGTTATTACAGACTTTCGTACTAAGTAACTATGTATCGAGGCACTAAATAATGTTGTTTAGAAGGTAGTAAAATAATTATATCTCAATTTTCGTGTTGATTGGATTAATATTTGTAAAGTTATAGTCATTTTTCTCATTGATGATTCATAATACATTATTACAGATTTTCGTACTAAGTAACTATTTATCGAGGCACTAAGTAAAGTTGTTCAGCAAGTAATAAAGTAATTACAGTGCTTGTCAGAAGTAACGTACTCCCTCATAACTTTCTGTAGATCATGTGTAATGTACCAAACGTTTCTGAGTACAAAGAACATTATAAATGCTGATCATTGATACTTTTTTATAGATTGGTAGAGCTTCTATACTGCATATTGTATGTTGATAAACTTTTATGTCTTAAATACAATGAATCATTTACTTAGATATAATATCTCGATGTCTAGTGATCCAATTTGAGCAAAAATGCCACTATTTGATTTGCCTAGATTAGAAAAATCAGATGATAGAATTTTCACTCAAATTAAATAACTAGACATCAATATATTGTGACTGTTCATATTTGGCAATCAATTTTTTATTAGAAATTGATTGCCAAAAAAAAATGAATTGATCAATTTAGGATATAATATCTCAATCTCCAGTAATCCAATTTAAATAAAATAATACCATTCAATTTGTCTAGTCAAACGAATCAAAATAGTATTTTTTGTGTTTAAATCAGATCATTGAAGATCAAGCTAATATATCCTAAATCAGCTAATTAATTTTTGTTAACTCCAAAAATATGAGTCTGCTACTTTAGAACATAATATCTTGATGAACAATAATCTGATTTGAACAAAAATACTATTATTGATTTATCTTGACTAAATAAATCAAATAATTATATATTTATTTAAATCAAATCATTATAAATCAATAATTTGATTATTATATATACTATATAATAAATAATATATATATTATAAAAATAAATATATATTGAATATATTGTTACAAGTTTGTATACTAATTATTAAATTAGCTTATAAACTTGAATTTTAATTTGAAAAGAAAATTAAACAAATAAACTAAATATTAAAGATATCTAAGTCATATATTAATTTCTATAAAAATTGTAATAATTAAAGATATAATAAAAATTATAAGAGATATAAAAGTGTAAAGATTAAGAAAAGAAACAAAAATAATAAGAAAATAAATAATAAATAGAGTTTAAGATACTAATTTTTTGTACTTGTATAAAGTTTTTCAAGATTAAAATAATATAATTAATAATAATATAATAATATAATAACAAAGTTTCTTTTACTTTGTTTTTTTATAAATATTAAATAACAAAATTAAAATTACAAAAATTTAAAATAATAAAAGTTAAAATACTTAATTAAAATTAATAAATTTAATAAAAATATTTTGTTTAGTAATATAATATTCAAAATTTGGTAAAAATTTTGGTACTCTATTTATTAATAGTTTATTATAATTTTAACAAAATTTTAGATGTCTATTAAGAGAGTTTAGCAAGCTTAAAGATAATAGTATTTTGTTTGGTACAATATAATTCAAATTTAATAATTTAATAATAATATTTCGTTCAGAATAATATAATTCAAAGCTACTTGAATACAAACTTTAATATATATAATTAAAAGTAAGAGAAATAAATATTATTTGAAAAAAGATTTTTTTTGTTAAAAGAAAATTTTATTTTTTATTTGTAACATTTTGAGTTAAGACTCAAATTATATTTTTATTTATATATTTTTTTGAAAATATAAAATAAAATAATTTACTGAGATAAAAATAAAAGTGAAAGTGAAATAATTAACTATATAAAAAGTAAAAAAATGGAATAAAAAGTAAAAAGTAAAATAATTTGAGGAATTTTTGCTATTATATGAATATTTGTGTTTTTTGACTATTTTGAAATTAACAATTTTATGTTACAATACCTGATATAGAAGCATCACAATCTATAAAAGATATTAATAATTAGTATTTGTAATATTCTTTGTGCTCAGAAAATTTTGGTACTTTATACAGATCTATGAAAAGTTATGGAAAGTACGTCACTTCTGACAAGTATTATATATCTCAAATTTCGTATTGTTTAGATTAATTTTCATAAAGTTTTCTTAACTAACTAAATTATTATTACTTTGTTTAGTATTTATAATAGATTTATAAATATATATAGGACAGAGAGCAGATACACATAATCACCTGTGTATTTCTATAAAAATACAATTGTAATCACCTGTTAGTTTTCAGACATATGCAGGATTATAATGCAGGGATTTTCAGGGAAGATTCCCTGTAAAAACCAGGCATTTACAGTCATTATTACATATACTTACATTGTTATTATTACAGATAACCTCAGGGATATACATAGGGTTTTTCTCATAGGGTTATTGATAATGAAATTACTTTGTTTGATTGGCCCGCCCAATCACCCGCCTTCAATCCTATTGAAAACTTGTGGAATGGGGTTGATACATATATGCGTAATCTTCCTGGCCCACTTTTAAGTAGAAATGATTTGTGTGAAAAGTTAAAATAGCTTGGGAAAGCATCGAATCAATTCAATGCCAAAGAGGATTAGAAAAGTAATTGAGGCAAAAGACGGGTATATTGATTATTATTTCTGAATTAGTAATATGTCATATAATAATTTTTAATTAAATTATCTTTTTATTTCCATCCAAATCTGTCATATTAATAGAATGTTAAAAAGTTAAAAAAAGACATTGGTGTACGAAGCAATAGATCGATGAAAATAAAAATTGCATTAGGTGATAATAACTATTTTAACGAATAAATTAGGTAGATTATTTGTTCACAATTCTTCAATGGCGAGATATTTGAATCTCGCCATTTTTTTCGGTGTTCCGTAACATTAGTGAGTCACTGTATATTAAACGAAATTCATGTAATTTTGAGTCGATTATCAATTTGGCAGGCCAATTTGAATCTGCCCGTTACGGCTGATGATTTCAAACATTCTTTTTCTCATAGGTGTAAGTTTAAAATTTTGCGATTTGCATTTATTCAATTATATTATTTAGAAGTTGAGAACACACTAATTTGCGAAAATCAACACAAGACCGTGTGGGCGTGCTAACTACAGTCAGGAGCTATTCGATTTTGCAGATCAATTCTGGAATATTCAGATGCATTTCTCGAAATCTGATTGGTTTAAATGCTGAGAATTTTGTAACGAAATATCGATCAAACAGTGCGATAAGAATCAAGGCTAACAGTTGAAACACACTTTCACGAGTATATACTTTGAGAATCCCTCGGGATCCCTGCGACTTTGAAAAGCAGTTTCTTCTCAATTTGAAGTTTTAGAATTCCGCCTTGTTACACAACAATTAATAATGAGTTCAGCTAGAGATCTACCTTGTATATTGACTTCTCTTCCCAAGAACTATCAGTTAGAACCATGCATGGATAAAGAGAGGCAGAAATGGCGATATGCGTCAGCTAGCGCAGCTGTGAAAGGACTAACAGAAACGGCTAAGTATTTTCCAGAACTGTCTTTATTGCTCGATTCTTTAGACAATTACTCTTTATGTGAACGACACTACAATCAGGTTATTGTCAAAAAGTCTTTTATGAAAAAATTTACTAAATCGAATGACTCAAGTTTTTCAGATTCTGAAGAAATAGAGAGAAAAAGAAGAAAGCTTATTGATGATAATGACGGGGTACAGGCTTATGAAAAAAGCTTTTCTAATTTCAGAGTTCAAGTATCTATGCTGGATCCAGCATATGAAACACTTTTGAAAAGAATTAGTGAGTTGGAAAATGCTAATAAACAGTTATCATTAGAAAATGAAAGACTCAAACGACTGTTAGATGGAAGACTCTCCAACAGACAAGATCGCGTAAGGCTGGTAATGGAAATTGCTAAAATGGAATGATGTAATGTATACAACGATATAATGAATTTAATGAAAAATCAAGAGCGATTTGGTTTAGACAATCTTATAGCATATTCACCTACTAAATGACTTACTGAGCGCAATCCAGTTATTGTAAAGTTTATACAGACTCTTACCCATAATGAAAATGAAGATCAATGTAAAGGCGAAAAGCTTTTTAAGTGTGCAGTGGCAGTTGATGCCATATACGGATCAAGGCACTTAAAATATGTGTCTGCAGTCAACTTGGCTGCTTCAGCAATTAAGTATTCATTAGTAATGTCAAAAATGGTAATCGACATTGACAATCATATAATGAGCTCCGGTGATTATACGAAATTTACTAATTGGTTAGAAACTTTGGCTACAGAACAACCACCACTTCCCAAAGGTTTATTATTTCTGGCCTTTGACAATGAACAAAAAGGTCAAAAAAATTACTTAGATCGTGGACTCAATACAGTTGTATTCCATATCATTACGAGTTTTGTCGCATTTAATTACGATCAAAATGATGACGTTCAGAATATGGATCCCTGGTTATACTCTGAACTTCCCCAAAAGCAATATGAGGAGTTATTTTCTTTAACTTCAGGTATAAGAGATGAAATTAATAAAGAACTTATTAATTATCTTACTATTATTTTAGAAGAGCTTTGTATTGAGAAAAATCAAGAAACGAATGTGATTGATGAATCAGTACGTCATCAAAGCCAGATGGGATATGTAAAAAAATGCTCAGCTTGTCAAAAGTCCAACATTGAGAATAAGAAGCGAGTCTGTCCTACATGCTGAAATAAATTACTGACAATTGCCGAGATGGACCAGCAATTTAATGAGCCGCCTAATATCACAGATACTGCAGGAAAATTACTAACCGCTCATTCTCGCACGTTTGAAAGGACACAATCAAATCAGGAGAGTAAGGTTTATACACCACAGCTATTTGTCCCTGATCTGATAGGTGTTAATCCAAACTCTATTTCTAATATTCGAAAGATTTTTGAGCATATTGAAGAAATATCGGGCATTAAAGACGGTAGACGTAAATGGGTTGTAGTTACTTGTGATGGGATACTGTATCACCGTGCGCTAAAGATAAAAAAAGATTTTCCTTGGCTAATATTAGTTCCAGGTGCTCTACATGAAGAAATAAATATGCTAAAGGCATTTGTTGAACTGAATTGGGATATTGATATAAGAGATTTTGCTCAATGTCAGGGGTATCGAACTGAGAATCAATTACAGTTCTTTAAAAAATGCTCTGATCATCATAAGTCATGGGATGCTATATGTAATATATATAGGCATGCAATGGCATCTGAATTAATGTGGCCATATGTTATTTCTGAGAAAAATCCATCTGTTGAAGGTTATTTAGAATGGGCGCAGAATCAAACGGATTCCATATTTACGTTAAAATATGAACAAATTTTCTTATATTTGCAAGCGATTATTAACTTTCGTACTGGTGTTCGTTTTAATAGGCCTTCATTGAGACTTGCAGCCAGACGAATATTTGCACCAATTTGGTTTGCTCGTCGACATCCCATTTACTGATTAATCGAAATCGCTGACGAAGAACAAAGACTTCGATTAAGACCTGAAATCGACAGATTGATCCAAAAAAGAATTGTAACTTCACGTTCTAAGCTTTCAGATCAACATCAGGGCCACGATGTGATACTAGAAGAAATCAACAAAGTGCTCAAGTCATTGGTTCCTTCTATACCGTCACAACGGCATTGGGAGATTGCCGCACGTAATTATACCAAATTTTTGAAATTGCGTACTAATATTTTTAACGTAATAGGATATTTTGAACACGAAGCACATGTCACTCGTACACGTCCTGGCTTTCTTAATGAATCACGTCGATTTCGGGTTCGAATAAGAAAAATGCAATTTGTAAATCCGAATGCCGATGATCGTGTTTTCAAAATATCAGCAGAGAATGGATGCTCAGTGAAGAAATGAAAAGATTTGGTGAAATTGCGCATACAAAAAGAATAGATTTTATTAAAGTGAAGCTAACTAAAGAAACGTCATTAGGTATTTGGCAATCAATCCCAACAATACGTGAAGAAGCAGATTGTCAGAAGGCTGAAAGTTCTTTAACGAAATCGCAGATTTTATCCATTATCAGCTCTTTAACACCTTTTTTAAGCGATTCACAACGATCACGTTTTAGAGGCTTATCAAGTAAATCCTGCAATGACTTGGTGAATATTCTTCAAGAAATTAGAAACACATTATCTGAAAATAGTATTAATAATATAGAAGAATTCTGATATTTTAATTAAAGTGACATGTGACTTTCCGACTTTTCCATGATGTTCTGTAATGTAGTACTAGAAATTTCTCGAATGTTTTCATTACTATAAAAAGTTGAGATCTGCATAGACCAAATTTGGAAAAACTCCTGACTGAACTATCGCGGTCCCTACTACCATAACGGAGGATATAAAACTAAAAATTAGAAGTGGCGTTCATTCCTTGATGATAATTTATGGAGTAAATAAAATCCTCGAATACATTGTTACTTCAAACAAAATGATCGTAGAACCTCGGTCGAGTGAATTTTAATAGAACAGTTCACTGTATTTTATCGATCTCGATTATTCTGATCACAATTCCATTGAATTAGCCATCTACTCTCATTAGTATCGCTATAGAAGATGATGAACGAATATATATGATTTATTGGATGCATTTATTAAACGTTGAGTTCGTCTGTACCGACAATACGATTTTTTTCAGATCTTTCCGAAAATAGAAACTTTTTTCTTACCCTACCCTCAGCACATATCGATATTATTGGGTTAAATTAACAATTACGATGCGAACATGATAGAAATAATGATTTATTTTCAATTATGATTTTATTAATTTAATAGAAAATTTCATATGGAGGTTCTCTCATTCCATTTGAATATCTTAGTTCTGGATCTGGTAGATCTAGTAGTTCTGGTAGATCGATGGTGGTTCTGGTGGTTCTAGTGGTTCTAGTGGATCTCGATCTTTTGGTGGATACATATTACCGATAACAATGAAGTAAATACATTTTGGACGTAAATTCAATTATTATTATTTCGTATTGATATGTATGATATTTCCTCTCTGATGAATCTCACTTTGGCTGTGGTGAGTGGGATACGTACAGTGCTCATCAGAAGTAACGGACCCCCCATAACTTTCCGTAGATCATGTGCAATGTTCTGAAATTTTCCGAGCACAAAGAACATTACAAATGGTGATCATTTATATCATTTATAGATTGGTAGAGCTTCTATATCGGGTATTGTATGTTCATTAAACTTCACAATAATCGGTCACTTTAGGACATAATATCTCGATCCGATTTGAGCAAATATTACCGATATTTATAAAATGTAGCTTTAATTGAGTGAATCAAATTTAGTACAAGCAAACATTAATGAATTATGCTATGAAAAATTCACCTTGGCCATAAGGATATTGAATCCATATATAGAGGGTGGATCATGCATGTGAACGACGACGACTTCCACATGTATAAATCTTCGTTTTTTTTACATAAATCACTGCCATCATCACTATACAACTCAAAGATGTCATTTTTTACTCATGATTGTAATGAATGCTTCTATTGTCGAGAGAATTACTTCTGCAAAGCGTGTTCAGTTCACAATATTCATGATTGTAGTAATAACTGTTTCGATTGTAAATGCTACGAGTGTGTTCAGTTCACAATACTCATGATTGTAGTCAATGTACCGAATGTCAAAAAAATGGGGACTGCAGAGGATGTTTTCTATATCACAAACGAATCGAATTGTCTAGTGAAAGTAAAGATATCGACAGTATAATAAATGAATGCGCGAAAGTCAAAATCCGAGTTTACAAACGAGGTAAAATGAACACCTTTTAAGTGTAAGCATATTTCTTTTTTTTCTTCAATCTAATTAACTTTCCAAAATTAGATGCAGACTGCTCTACAGTGCAGTAATCGGATAAAATATTATGAAATAACTAAAATCCCAGCTACAAATGGATACTCGGTAGTGATGGATTATGCAAAAGATGGCGATCTACGCAAATAGCTGAATTCCAACTACGTACATGTACAGTATCCCCAAAAAGTATCGCCAGATTTTTTTAAAAAATGAAATTTTCGATTTATTTCATTTCTGCTTTATATACATAATTTTTTTTACCATTAACTAATACATTACCCACTCTCTATATGGCTTCAATATCACCTCGATTCCTTACGGCATCGAGCTCACATCCTACCCCAAACTAACACATTACATTTTGACTACAC